AAGGAAAAACAAACAGTGGCGGTTCCAAGAACAACGTCTTCCCTCCAGCACTGCCAGTCTTTTGGCGCATCCGCATTTAGAAGCAGCCCTCAAACATCGCTGTCAAGGTTCCGGGACAGCGCGTTTGTTTAAGGTGAAAACTTGCCACAAGATAAAGCCAGGAAATACCAAGTCGAAAGAAAAAGTCTCCGAATTCCTACCTATCAGAAATGCATCGTTCTTACACTTTCTTTTGGAATCTGCCTTAATACGATCATCTAAAATTCATTTTGAAGACTTTGGTAAAAAATATAAAAACAAATTACTCTTTGATACCTCCCCACCAAGTTCCCTCTGAAACGCAGTTGTGAGATTAGCACACATTCCTTTAATATACTTTAAAAAAAACACAAAAAAACTCTATTACGGATTGGGAGTGTAGCTCAGCAGTAGAGCACCTGCCTTGTGTGTGTGAAGGAAGCCCTGGGTATGCCCCAGTGACACCCCCCACACACACACGCGCACAGATACACACCACACACATACATACACATACATGCAGATACACACACACCACACCCACACAGATACACCCCTCCACACACCCTCCCCTCTATACATATACACGTGCGCACACATGCGTGCAGATACACACACAGACACACACAAATACACACATACACACCACACACACATGCAGATACCCCCCCCCCCCCCACACACACACCCCATACCATTTTTAAAAGCTACTTTAATATATCCTGAAGTGTAAACGTGAGTTGTTAGGGCACATCTTGTAATTTCAACTCCTATAAAATCTCTCTTGGATGAATGATCGAGAGGAGTGGGAAGGCCAAAAATTTCATAGTAGTGTTGAATAAAAAGAAGCTAGTACAAAGGCAAGTTTTTTTCCTGAAAGGACAGAGCAGAGCGGCTTCCCTGTTACTCCAACACCACATGCCAGCCCGGGCCCTGGCCACCTCCCACGGACTCCACACAATGGGGCCAGAACAGAGACCTGGTATTACAATGCAAAGAATTTAAAAATCCTCCGTCTTAAACCAAAACCTCAGTGCTGGGTTCCACGCGACGCAATCCAAGCTGATGAAACAGCCTGGCAGTCTCTGTTTGGAGGGTTACAAACACACAGATGAGGGACTGGAGCCATAGCACAGCAGGTAGGGCGTTTGCCTTGCACGCAGCCCGACCCGGGTTCAATTCCCAGCATCCCAGATGGTCGCCCAAACACGGCCAGGACTAAATCCTGAATGCATGAGCCAGGCGCAACCCCTGTGCATCGCTGGGTGTGACCCAAAAAAGCAAAAAACAAATAAAAAAAACACACAGGTGACAGCAGTTGGACACAGTCTGGCCCCTGGGGGCCAGCACCAAGAGGTGCCGCTCAGGGATGATAAAGACAAGTCAGCATCTGGTCATGAAAGGGGGGCAGAGGTGTGCTCGGCCGTCCCCCACGTGTTGCTGGCTCACTAGGACGTGTTCTCTTGGCAGAAACGCACCCAGGCGTACACTCACAGGTATGTCCTTCCTAGCCTTGCCAGGCTTCTACAGACAGCCTTGCAAAAGGAGCATCCGGCACGGGGCCCTCTCCTCATCCCAACAAGACAGATTATTCCCTGGAAGCGACTGACCACAGAGTCGCCGGCTTCAAGGACACTGGACGGAGCGAAGAACATGTTTTGAAAACAGGGATCCAATAAAAATTCACACGAGGCCTTGACATTCCAGCTCTCTCCCCCGCTCGGTCCCCAAATCCTGGCACACGCCACGCAAACAGAAGACCGGGGGTTCCTCGCAAGCCAGCTGGGCACGCCCCCGGGAGAAGGGCCCACAGACAGCGCCTGCCTTTGGAGGCCGCCCAGAGAAACCACAGGGCCACTGCGGCCGTCATGACGGTGGAGAGTCCTGCCACAGACCACGGGGGCCGGTTCGCCTGCCAGTGACGCACCACTGAATGGGAAACAGAGAGAAGGAAGCACCACACAGGTGAGTCAACGGGGACACAAATGTCTGGCCCACATAAGTTGGGGGAATCAGGCAGACGAGATGGGGGGGAAATCCCATCCTCAGCAGGAGAAAAGATGGTCCATGAAAAGAACAGATCACAGTAAAACACAAGTTACACACACACACACACACACACACACACAGTAAAACACAAGTTACACACATACACACACACACACACACACACACACACACACCTATACCCCAACTCCTGGAAACAGTAGCACTGTAGCACTATCCTCCCGTTGTTCATCGATTTGATTAAGCGAGCCCAGTAACGTCTCTATTGTGAGACTTGTTGTTACTGTGCTTGGCATATTGAATACGTCATGGGGAGCTTGCCAGGCTCTGCCGTGTGGGCCAGATATTCTTCCCCCGCTCTCTGAGAGGGGCAGAGGAATCGAACCTGGCTTGGCCAGGCTGGCCACGTGCAAGGCAAATGCCCTACCACTGTGCTATCGCTGGAGTGACAGCTTAGTTAAAAAATATTAAAAAAAAAAAAAAGCAGAAAAATACAGACAATGAACTGCAGTGGGGAAAAACAACCACAGTCGACCAGCGTGAAGGCACCTGGTGTGGACTGGTGAAGGCCAACAAGTGCTCCCCCTGACAGCGAAGGGAGAGGTCGTGTGCTGAGACTGCGAGCCAGAGGGGATGGGGTCTGGGTTGAAGGAGAATCACAGACCAAGAACCAACAGTTGGGGCCACCGCTGGGGCCTCCTATGCCAGGCAATGCCTCGGGTCCATTTGATTAACTGAGGCCACGGCGCCCGGTTCTTTGATTTCCCTATGTCCTGATGAGCATTTTAGGTCTCTTGTCTAGGCTTAAATTTCTGATCATAAAGTAATCCGATAGAAAATGACTCGAATACCAATGTTCATCTTCGTACCCACATTTTTCTATTCCAGTCGGAACACTTTTGCCTCTGACTTTCTTTTTCTCTGTGACAACTGTGCTGGCGACCCAACTGAGGGTCTCCCCAGGCCCCATCACAGAGCCACATCCTCTGGCCCGGAGCCTCCTTCATTCTAAGTCAGTAAACATTATGCGTATAGCCAAGACCGCTTTCTCATAGGCAAACCAGACCCCCACCCAATTTACCTCCATCCTAGAATGCAAGCACTTAGCATCTCCATAGATCTCTTCTCTAAAATGGAAGGATTTGGGACTAGAATCTCTCTGACTTCTAATGCCTCTCTCAATTCTTATTTTATTTCTATATTTTGGGTTTCTGGCACCACACCCAGCACCAGTGGCTGAGCATGTTGGGCCCTATTACTGCAGAGGAAACTCTGCTGGAGGGGGTCTCATAAAAATGAAATGTTTTACTTTAAAATGTCCCTGATGGGGGCTGGAGCAATAGCACAGCGGGGAGGGCGTCTGCCTTGCACGTGGCAGACCCAAGTTCGATTCCCAGCATCCCATATGGTCCCCTGAGCACCGCCAGGGATAATTCCCAAGTGCAGAGCCAGGAGTAACCCCTGTGCATCGCCGGGTGTGACCCAAAAAGAAAAAGAAAATGTCCCTGATGTGGGGCCGAAAGATAGTACAGCGGGTAGGGTGCCTCCTTTGCACAAGGCAGACCCAGGTTCAATCCCCGGCATCCCATAGGGTCCTCCAAGCACCGCCAGGAGCAATTCCTGAATGCAAAGCCAGGAGTAACCCCTGAGCATTGCCAAATGCGGCCCCAAAATATCACTGCTGATGGGGATGTTGACTGGCCCAACCTTTATAGAAAACAACACAAACATCCCCCAAATTAGGAACTGAGCTTCCATACAAGTTGGCAATTACACTTCTTGCCATCTACCCCAAGGGTCTTTTCCAAAAGTCTACTGCGAAAAGACACCCGCACTCCTATGTTCACTGTCGCACTATTCATGACAAGAGCCCAAATCTGGAAACAGCCCAGGCGTCCAGGAGCAGGTGACACGGGAAAGAAACTGGATCCTATACACAATGAGAAAAGACACAATCGGGCAACGGGCTCTCAGAAGGAGAGCGAGCACGTGTCACAGAATGGCACCATTCACACGTAGGAGCCAGAGAAACATGGGAAGGAAATCAACGCCCCAAGGCTCCAGACACTGAGGACACGGCAGGGCACCCAGGGAATGGTGGAGGGAAGCAGATGCTCTGGAAGGGTGAGGTGCAAATCCTACCATGGACAGTACTGGACATCCCGCTGCCCAAATAAAACTGGGGGGGGGGGGGGAGCACGGGGGGTCCCTCATGGTAAGAGAAAGTCTATTTGCTTGTTACTCCATCATACCCAGTGGGTCTGCTTACTCCTGGCTCAGGGATCACATTTTTTTTATTAGTGAAATCACCGTGGGGCACAGTTACATACTTTCAAACTTTTGTGTTTGCATTACAGTCATACAATGGTCATTTACCCATCCCTCCACCAGTGCCCATTCTCCCCTACCAATGTTCCCAGTATCCCTCCTACCACCCCACCCCATCCACAACCACCCCACACCACCTCTGCGACAGGCATTCCTTTTTGTTCTCTCTTCTTTTGGGTGTTGTGGTTTGCAAGAGGTATTGAGCGGCCATCGTGTTCAATCTATAGTCTACTTTTCGGCACACAACTTTCAACCCGAACAGGTCCTCCCAACAAACATCGTTTACTTGGTGTTCAGGGATCACTTTTGATGGGGGTCGGGGAACCATTATGTGATGCCGGGAATTGAACCCAGGTTGGCTGTGCCCTACCCGCTATACTACTGCTCCAGTCCCCAAGGAAAGGATCTCTGAACAACACAAAATTTCTGCTGATAAAATGGTAAGTTCACTTAAAATCCTTCTAACTAATATGTGATGTTATCTCAAGGAAAACACCTGCACAATTATGTGACTTGTCAGTCAAGCTAGTCACTACTTTCCCAAAACACCCCTTTCTCTCAAAGAACAATGAAACAACTGAAAGGGTCCTAAGCTGCCCCAGGCCCCCCTCTCGAAGGCAGGTGCCCGCCCTGGTTAGGCCACTTACCTCTGCAGTTCACTGAGCCCCCGGGCCGACGGCACGCTGGGGTTCTGCCTTAGGAAGTTCTGCTTTAAGTTGAGATGAGTGAGGTCTTGGCTGTAGAAGAGGTTGGCAGGCAGGTGCTCCAGGCTGCAGCACGACAGGTCCACGGAGCTGATCCGCTGGGACGCGACCTACGGGGGCAGAAACACACATCTGAGTTCAGTGCCCGCCGTGCGCCCTCAGGCTGCTGCTATCGGGGAAAAAAAATAAAACACCAGAAATGCAGACACCCTGTTCAAGGAGCACTATCGATCCAAAACAAACAAACGAGACAGACAATAATTCATATAAAACAGAATTAGCCACTGTCCCAAGTAGAGAACAGAATGGCTGGCCAGAAGGTGCGTGTAACGGAGGCCGGGAGGCTGGTGACAGAGGTCACAGATTATCCGACGAAGGGCAGTGAGAAGTAACCGCCAACATTTATGTCCCGAAAACATGCCAGGCAAGAGGAGTCGGAGCTTAAACCCCGGAAGACTCTGGAGCTTGTGTGGGGCAGGGAGGTGGACGCTATGATGGAACAGTACCAACGAGGGGGGCCCACGTCTGGCACCTGACCCACAGAAACGCCAGCCTCCCCCCAGACCGTGAGCCCGCCGCCAGCCACTCTCAGCTCAGCCCGCACCCAGGCTAAGAGGACGTGTTTATATATTTACTGCACTCTGAGTTATGTACATGTTCTAGCAGAATTTATTTTACATCTCAATGTTTACCCACATATCCGTGACCTTCTGTTTGAACGTCTGCTACCATGGTCAGAGTCCTGGGCGGCGTCAACTGGCGTGCTGAGGACAGAAATGCAAGAGGCAGCCGTCCTCCCTCTCAAACGCTCTCTCCGGTATGCCAGGCCATGTGGTGCCAGTTCGGGTGGGAGAGCGGCTGGGACCCACTGACCCTGCCCCTAAAGGCCCCTTCCTCGAAGAGTCTTGGGGGCGCTCTGCTCAGGTCAACGCTAACTTTCTCACTCATGCCTTTCTCTCTGCCAAAGCTTTCTGGAAGACACCACTCCTTATCTGTGATCCGTTTGCTTTCCCTTTCTCCAGTGACAGAGTGTGGGGTCACTGTGTGGGGTCACATCCGGAGGCCCCATGAGCAGAGGGCAGGGACAGTAAATCATGGAGTCCTCACTGCCTGGGGGTTCGCATTCTTGACAAACATGAAGGCGACAATTCTGTGTCTCACACAGAAAAACACAGTGGATGAAGGGTGGGCGTTGGGGCCAGTGTAACGGTCCAGCTCTCCCAAACGGCAGAACTCACATTTGACATCCCCTGACATCGAAATGTTCCTGATGCCTAAAGGGCATCCAAGAGTAACTTTCCGTAAGACATCCTGTTGCTGGCATGTACGAGGTGAGAAACCAGGGGAAGATCGGCCTAAAAAAAAAGCTCGGAAGAATCAACTCAAGTGATTTCATGGGGGAAACCTGAGTTTGCACTTCAGCAAATTAATCTTCCCTTTATTCTGTACATACGGACAAAAGAAAAAGGCCTCTCCAAGCCAAATCACCCGGACAGACTGAAAGATGCGAAGAAAGCAGAACTTGCCGGGCCTGAAAGGGAACCTCAACATGCCACTCGTCCACAAGACGCTGGGCCAGGAACCCACACACAGGAAGTGAGACTGAGAACCACACCAGCGGGTAAAATGATGCCAAGTGTGTTTAGGGGCCTGGGGTTTAGGGCACACGCCTTTACCAGTGTATGGTCCCAAGTATAAACCCCTGGCGTCTCACAAACGCTGAGTGTGACGCTGACAGCTCTGCAGTCTGTGACCCCCGGCACCGCAGGAGACTTTGGGGCCATGCCACAGCCTGGCTGTGTCCGTACCAGGCACTGGGAGAGCACTGCACCCCAAAAGATGTGGGGGCGCCCAAGGGCAGGAGGTGAGACCTCTGCTAAGTGTGTGTGGGATCCTGGAGGTCCCGGGGACTAAAGGCCCCACTCCAGGTTGAAACTGGAGTAGACACGGCTATAGGCTGCTGCTCCCTGTAACAACATGAGCCCAGGGACAAGAGTGGCCTCCAGGACACCCCCCCCCCCCCCCCCGACACACACACACAGACACACACTGGCCAGGGACCCATGCAGGCACCCAGAGGCTGGCTCTGGCATTTCCATTCTCCTGAAGTCAGGAGAAGGAGAACCTGGTGCACCCGAGCGCTGCCATTTTTTTTTTAATTTTTATTAGTGAGACACCATGAGGTACAGTTGTAGACTTACAAATTTTTGTGCTTGGGTTTCAGTTATACAATGATCAAATACCCATTCCTCCACCAGTGCCCATTTCCACCACCACGGATCCCAGTATCCCTCCCACCTCCCATTCCCCCCTCCCACCCTTCCTCTGTGGCAGGGCATTCCCTTTTGTTCTCTCTCTCCTTTTGGGTGCTGTGGTTTGCAAAAGAGGCATTGAGTGGCAATCATGTTTGGTCTATAGTCTACTTTCAGCATGCATCTCCCATCCTGGGAGGATCCTCCCAACACCCTCTATTTGGTGCTCCCTTCTCTATCTGAGCTCCCTTTTCCCCTAGCATGTGTGGCTGGCCTCCAGGCCATGGAGCAAAATTCCTGGTACTAATCTCGGCCATTCTTGGGTGTTAGTCTCCTATTTTGTTACTTTATGTTCCCCAGATGAACGCAATCTTTCTATGTCTGTCCCTCTCTTTCTGACTCATTTCGCTTAGCATGATACTTTCCACGTAGTACCACTTGTATGTAAATTTTATGATTTCATCTTTTCTAACAGCTACATAGGACTCCATTGTGTAGATGTACCAAAGTTTCTTTAACCAGTCATCTGTTCTTGGGCACTCAGGTTTTTTCCAGATTCTGGCTATTGTAAAGAGTGCTGCAATGAACAAACAAGTGCAGATGTCACTTCGACTATACTTTTTTTTTGCCTCTCTGGGATATATTCCCAGGAGTGGCAAAACTGGATGGCTACATGCAAAAATGTGGGCTCAGATCTCTGCCTAACGCCATGTACAAAAGTAAGATCAAAGTGGATTGAAGACCTCAACATCAGACCGGATTCCATAAGGTACATTAAAGAAAATGTTGGCAAAAGCCTCCATGACATCAAGTGCTGCCGTTTAAGGGCATGAAACAAACCTGCTTTTATTAAAACAGCTACAGAACAGCACCGAGAGCCCAGCGCCATCTGTGAAAGGCACCTGAAAACAAACGTGCACAAATCCACCTGCTGTAGTGGAATACTTGCAAATGCAGAAACGCTATAAGCCTTATCAATGCAGCCAAATTAAGACGCCTGGATGTCGGTCATACACCAAACTAGTGACAGAGATCACCGCTGCGCAGGCAGGAAAGGAAACGGCATGGGAAGGGGAAGATGGGGACCGGGCATATAAGCGGGGGGATCCAATTTCTCAGAGAGGGCTAACCGAAGGCAGGAAGGCCCTGTGTCCTGAGGAATGGGCAGGAGCCAGGCATGGATGCTGTGCTGCCATCCTTGGTGCTCTTAAACTGGGTCACGCTAAAAACAAAGAAAGCTCCATGAAAATGTCCATCCAGGATCGAATGGGGGTGGAGAGGAACCAATCTTGTGGCTCCCCTCGTGTCCTCCTTGGTGCCCCCCAGAAATTGATGCTTCCTCCTTAAACCAAAGGCCGGAGCCATACGCTCAGCCTCGACCCCCACTATCCCTACACTCACCCTGCACAGCAGAAGAGTGGATATTCGCTCCGGGGTACTCCAGAGCATCGTGAAACAAAATTAAGTCTGCCTTCAAAAGAGAGGGACAGACATAGAAAGATTGCGTTCATCTGGGGAACATAAAGTAACAAAATAGGAGACTAACACCCAAGAATGGCCGAGATTAGTACCAGGAATTTTGCTCCATGGCTTGGAGGCCAGCCGCACATGCTAGGGGAAAAGGGAGCTCAGATAGAGAAGGGAGCACCAAATAGAGGGTGTTGGGAGGATCCTCCCAGGGTGGGAGAAGCATGCTGAAAGTAGACTATAGACCAAACATGATTGCCACTCAATGCCTCTTTTGCAAACCACAGTACCCAAAAGGAGAGAGAGAGAACAAAAGGGAATGCCCTGCCACAGAGGCAGGGTGGGATGGGGGGTGGTAGGGTTACTGGGATCCGAGGTGGTGGAGAATGGGCACTGGTGGAGGAATGGGTACATGATCATTGTATAATTGAAACCCAAGCACAAAAATTTGTAAGTCTGCAACTGTATCTCATGGTGTCTCACTAATAAAAATTAAAAAAAAAAATAAAAGAAGTCTGCCTTCATTACACTGACCTCGGAAACAAGGGAATTATATGCAAAACCTGATTAAGCCCTAGGGTGAGGGGAGGCAAGGAAAAGGGGGACAGGATTAACTCGAAGGTGAGGGTTGCCACCAACAGAGTCTGGTCAGGGCCAGTCCCGCTGAGGGGGGGACAGGGGACAGCAAAAGCCGCAGGGCAGGCAGCTGCCAGGGTTTCTCCGGGCAGTGGAGGTCAGTCACCAGTGTGAAAGCCCCGAAGAAGAACAGCACCTGGCATGACCAGGAAGCCGTGAGGAGACAGGAAGATAAAGGGCGGGACCTCGGGTCCTGCCAGAGAGATGGGATGAGGGGAGAGGCCAGGGGCTGCCCTGTGGCCACAACAGGCACTTGGGAATGGAGCCGAGAGAGGTTCTGGGAAGCGCCGCAAAGGCCCGGGTTCTTGCCTGCTTTGCTCGCTCAGAACCTGGTGCAACGCTTCCAAGTATTTGCAGGAAGAATGGCCACTGGGCCACCTCAGGCCTCCCCGTCCTCCCAGTCTGCACCAAGCCCTCTGACGGCACTCTCACACCTGCCAACGATCTCAAAGAAGTCAGACTCTCTTTCGGCCGCAGTGTCACGCTAACGGTTCCTTGGGCGCCCATCGGATAATGACTAAATGTCAAGTGGCATCTGTTTCTCTTCCTCACTCTGGGTCACAGGCTGTTCTTGAGGCAGGAGGGCGAGGGAAGCACCTGGGGGCCCAGCAGAGCAGCTTGAGGGGAGACGGGAGGAATGGAACAGCCCCAGGTCAGTGATGGGACGGGCCACGTGGGCACAGGCCACAGGCTGCCAGGTGACGGCAAAAGCAGCACGACTGCTCTCGCCACCCTAATCCGGTCACTTCATCCCC